TCTCTCTCTCTCTCTCTCTCTCTCTCTCTCTCTCTCTCTCTCTCTCTCTCTCTCTCTCTCTCTCTCTCTCTCTCTCTCTCTCTCTCCTGGTGATGTGCCCGTCGCCTTTTTTATCGCTCTTTTTCGGTCAAGCACTCGATCGACCATTGCTGTGTGTGTTTGTTCTCTCTCCGCCCGTCGAAGTGCCGCGAAGTAGCTGTGGCGGGTAACCTTGTTCGTACTCTACCGACAGTTGCATCCACATGAAAACAAGGGGCAAAAAAAGGAAGATTGAAAAAAAGAAACTTCCCTTACGTCGTGAGAGCCATCAGATACATTCTATGAGGTGCTAGTGTAACCGAGTCCTCAGTGAGGACGTATGTCCAAGACAACCAAAGAAGAAAAAAGAAAAAAAGAAAACATCCCTTATGAAATGATAGCGAGCAGATACTCCTCGAAGTACTAGTGGGAGCATGCCCTCACTGAGGGCGTTTCTTTCCGCCCCGTGGATCACACCTTGCCTTGCTGGCAAGGCACTACAAACAAAATGATAAAAAAAAAAACTAAAACAACAGCAACCACGTTCCCATAATAGTGGTCAAATACATGGTGTGAAGTATCGACGTTACTTCCACCTCGTCTAGCGCTTTCCCCTATAGCGATGTTGTTGGTTTTTTCCTACATTCTCACAGCCGGCCCACATGGCCCATTTGTATTTTTTTCCTCATTTTCTTTGTCGGCCTCCGACCTTTTGCCCGACCCCCAAAAAATGCGGCATTTTTCCAAATTCCTCATTTTCTTTCTCGGCCTCCGACCTTGTGCCCGACCCCCAAAAAATGCGGTATTTTTCCAAATGGGACTACAGGTTGGAAAGGTAGTGGTGGTTTCAAGAAACTGCATCTCAGTATGAGGGTGCAAAAACTGGAATCGGAAGTGAGCAAATTGGCAGATAACCGCAAAATGAGAGCTGATGAATATGCTGAGGGGATCAAGGCGTACTTCCAACTAGAGGAAGGGGGAGAAAGTAAAGAGAGTTCTATAGAAACGAAGGAAAAAAAATTAAAAAAAAACTAAATAAAGTAGAGAAAGTTTTCCACTCACTGCCCTTGTTGTGAAGGACATTCTACCCTTGGACTTGCTGTTAGGGATGGATCGTGGAGAGGCTGCGAAGGCACATGGGACGATGGCCGAGCACGAGTGTTGGCTTCCCAGTCCTGAAGGTGGGAAGGAGAAGAGAAGATTGTTCCATGAATCTGGAGTCCAGTCCACCCTATCCCTTTGTTGTATGAGTGCCCCGGCGTTCACTAGGGACATGGTCAAGGAATATATGGTTGACCAAACCTTTGTAGCCTACATTAGACCGGTGAGCGAG